TCTAACCCCTTTTTATTACCCATCATAGAAGCAATACCCTCACATCTGAAACTATCAAACTTGTTCAATGATTTCAGCTCTTCCAAGGAAATGTTTAATGAATGACAGTATATCATTTCAGATTTTAAAACATTCAGCCAGTTCATCTCCTTTACGCAACTAGACTTGTCAGCATCATGAATCGGTTTGCGATTTCCAAAAATGTTAGCAGATTCTCCCGAAACAAGCCCAACCTCCTCCTCCTGAGCCTCTTTACCAGATCTACTTTTACCAATGCATAATTTTTCTGAAAATTTTTCCTTTACTTGTAAAGAAAGTTGATTTTTGACAAGAACAGTTTCCGAAGCCATTAGAGCTCTATTTTCAAAAGAACATGGTTGAAAAAGCTTGTCAGCAATAGAAACTTGGTTGGAAGTTAAATCCACCTCCTCTGCAAGATTAGAATAAACATAATCTGGCCCTTGAATAACCTGTCGTTTCTCCTTGATTTCGTCTTTCTTATTCACTTGCTTGATTACAGGTTCAGTCGGTTCCATCTGAACCTTCTTTGTTGACTGGGAAATTTCTAGCGCTGATTGAGAAGCTTGTGAACGAGAAGTTCTTGGCGACCTCAATGACTCCTGTTTTGATGATTCCTGCGAGCTGAATGAAGAAGTTCTGGATTGCGAACTGGAAGAAGTTCTTCGTGACTTCGATGAATCTCTGCTTTCTGTCTTCCCTGTCTTCGGCCGGCGTTTCGGTGGAAAATCCCTAATCAAGTCTTCCTTTAGAGCCTTCCAACTATCTTCCCTCTTTTGATACTCCCACCACCATTTAAACCAGCCACACGCGGCTTCCCCCATAGCCTCTTCTGCGACATCCACTTTGAATTTTTCTGCAATAGCTTGAACTCGGAAATATCTTTCCATCTTCTCTATCCATTCGTAAGCTTCCTCCTCGTAGAATAGAGGTAATTCCTCCTTCTTTGAACTAGCCGAATTCCAAGAAGCGACTTTAGACGAAGAATGTGAACTGTAAGAATACTTTGATGAAGAAGAAGATTCTCTTCTCAATCGTGTCTTCCTTGAATGCGAACTGATGTCCGTTGAGAAAGTCTGATGCGAAGAGCGATGATAAGAATGATGAGAAGAACTCTGCGAAGAGCGATGTGAAGAGCTTGGCGAAGAAACAGTTCGATCGCCAGATTTTCTGTGATACCTCAGATCTTCTGCTTCCTCTGGATTCGCTGACTTTAGCGAATTATGATGATTCCTACGATGCCTGTGAGGATCGCGATCACGCCTCGATGCAGAATCACCGGACTGATTGTCCGATCCTTCAGAACTATCGCTATACCTCGTATGTCCATGGTGTGACGTACGGTGCGATGAAGTCGATTTATGCGATCGACTCCCTGATCGACCTGGAGACCTATTCTGCAAATCCGCGATACTGGCTTGCATCGTGGCCAGAGTAGTCGCGATACTAGTTTGAAACTCCCGCAGACTTCTATCCATACCCGCCTGCCTCTCACGTTGACTTCTTGCCAATTCCGTCATTCTTCCTTCCGTCAAGGTCATCCAGCGATCAACGGGCTCTGATACCAATGATAGGAACCTCCAAGAATCCCGAACAGTTTTCAGAAAGATTACAAGAAAACAATTGAACACTTTATTGATTGAAGAGGAACGATTACAGAAAGATGAAAGAAACTATGACCGAAGCCCCCCAATGAGCCGAAGCCCCCCAAAGAAAGAGACAGTTCTCGATCTTCCCAAGTCCCAGACTAAACGTCTAAACAGCCTGCTCTCCCCTCCCAGCCTTCCTTCTATTTATAGTAGTCTAATACACTTATTATTATTCTTGCTCAAATAGGCCCAATTCCTAACAGTCTATTAGGCCCAATTCCTATTATAGGTAGATCCCTATCATCCGTTAATCAGAGAGAAACATTAATTGTGGGGTTTCTAAAGTGTAAACGAGTTTCTGATCTTATGTACTTATTTCAAATACTTTAAGTAGTTAAAGCGTTAACCTTATGCATTCGTCAATTTCTTTTATTTAAAATCATTCAGATTTGGCCCTAACTGAGTTGCACCCAGTAAAGTAAATCACCCAATAATGAAAATATCCGAATATTCGCCAAGTAACTCTGTTTTGTCAATCATTCTGACTTCCAACTCATTCCGTGTATGACTACACACATATGTGTTGTGTCTTATTTATGAACAAGTTCACGGTTGAACAAAGTGTAGAAACAAGCAGGATTTTGTGGAGAGTTGAGATCCCAAACTCCCTAGGGTTGGGTTTTGTTGAGACCCAAAACTCATAAAATTCTCTTTTCTAAAAGTTTGTTCTGTATTATTAATTTATTCTAAATAAGACCCTCCTTATATAAGGTGGTAGTACATGGAATTCCAAACACTAAAGGGAATGGGATCCCGCGTTCTAATGGAACCCAATCCCAACATTAATACAATAACTAATTGGTAATTGCTAAACTATTGAATATTTTTCCAACTAAACTCTTCCCAAAATGATGTAATAGTATAATAAGACTCCCAAACTTATTAAAAACTCCACAAAATCTTCCCTGTATCCTGCTTTTTGCCAATGAACTTTAACATTAAACTGATAGCAAGCTTGAAGTCATATAATAGTATAATACCAGTTGGAGCAATCTGATTCTTCGTAATTATACTCTGTGATTAAATCCTCCTAAATACCTAAGACATTAGAGGGAGATGTAAGTTTACTCGCAGCCTTCTAGGAATACATTTTTTGTTTTTGACTGATGTGTTGAGAATACTTCGAATTCACATAGCCTCCAATTGACCATAAAAACATGTATTCAAGGTTTAAGGTTATTGCTATTTCGCGTTTCACATTTCAGGTTATACTTTTCTTTTGTTCTTCCAATTTAATGTTTTAGTCAGAACCAAGCTATTTATGACTTTCAACTTCTAATATTTACCGCATTCACCCATTGTAATAAAAAACAATGCTCTCGAACCAAATTACTCAATGATTTTCATTTTTATTTAACTGCAAATACAATTTATTTGGATTGGGTTTTAGAATCAGTTTATGTAGAAGAGGCATATATCTGCTATGATTATTCAAACCGAAAGTTTATATTAGTGGATGCATACTATATGATGGGTCGTGGGTGCATGTTCTCTAAACCATGAACTTTCATATCTACCTATGGTTTTAGGTTTTACATTTACTCTCTACATATAAAACTAACATACATGAGAGGTTTGGATTAGTTTTAATTTTGAAAATTTTAATCAAAATCAGTATCATGTATGAAAACTTACAGGTTGTTATGAATAAAGATCTGATGTGACTGATGTTCTTATGCACAGCAAACTTGAAAAGATATCCTTAAAGAATGTAATTATATTACATTGAAGTATAAGAAGTCTCATTTTCTTTTGATAGAAATAAGAAGTCTTTTAAGATTCAAGAAAGTGAGTCCTAATGTTGATACTGGTATTGCCACTAAGTTCAAATATGAATGATCACACATGGCTAATTTAGTCATGGTTGATTCATGATTCTATATATTGGGAAGAATGGTTTGATAACTATAGTTGGAATTCAAAATAAGAGAGTTGTATTGTGAGATGAGTAATATAAACATAATGGCATACAACATTTTCAAACTTCAGTTATATGCTCAAGTTATATGTCAGTATAAAGAAAAAAGATTTGGTTAATCCGTTTTAGGGGTTACAGCGAAATGTTCAGGTTATATTTTAGCTTTTGGAATAAGTCCTTTTAATAATTAACTTGAGTTTTTGCATCCCTTTTTTACAGCAAGAAAATGAAATGCAATTAATGAACTGCCCTGCCCCACTATATAATCTAGCAGTCCCAACTTAAAATTTGTAAATATATAGACTATATAGACTATTTACACAAACACAGTGTGGAGCTAGAGGTAGTTCTCTTCCAGCAATATGAAAGATGGGACTGCACATCGAAATGGAGTAACTCTTCAGTCACAAAGAAATGTAGTTTATTTTCAATTACAAAGATACGAAGATGAAAGCAAGACGAAATATGGGTGCCAACAGCGTCTCCATCATAATTTTCCATAAGATTTTCATAAATTGATCTCTAAAAGAGGTATAAAAAAAGAGCATAGATGTGATTGTAGGCGTTTCCACCGTAACCATAGATGTTTTTTAATACTATCTAAAAAAAGAATGATCACCTAAGCATTTAAATATTTAATTTGTTTAACTCATCTCCTTTAATGCATTTCTTTATATGGGCTCTTAAGCTCATAAATAGGTACAACAGGTAGTTACAAATAGCAAAAAAGGTGCAATGTCTAAGTCCTGGAGAAGCCTAGACCATGTCTCACTGGTGTTTAACAGTTTCTAAGTTTTCTATGATCCTTTTATCTTAATCAGTATGATAGCCAGCTTTATATTTTGGAACTTTACATAAAAATAAGTTGATATCAAAACTCAGTGCACTCTTATTACTTTATAAGAGGTATGTAAGTGGTATAGAAATATCTTAGTCACTCTTATTACTTTTCTGTATACTTTCATCGCAGATTACCAAAGGATTAAGGAATGTATTACATATTACGTAGTATAAAAAATAGTATATCAAAGAATGTTATGGAGCTACCCTGTTTATAGATTCTTTACTTATTCATTTTACTTTTTTTACTATGGCTTACTAATATTGACATATTGTCATTTCAATGAGAGAATAAACGGGTTTCTTATTCAATTTATCAATTTTAATCAACTGTTAGAAGGAGAGAAAAAATAGCTTTGGTCTTTACTTTTTTACTATTGCTTAATATTATTGTAAATTCTTGTGGAGATTTAAAACAATCTGCTATTATTGTTTCAATGAGAGAATAAACAGGTTTCTTATTCAATTTATCAATTTCAATCAACTTAGAATGAGAGAGAAAACAGGTTTGGTTCATACTTCTTATTCATTTACTTTTTTACTATTGCTTACTATTATTGTTAATTTTTGTGCAGATTTAAAAGAATATGCTGTTATTATTTTATTAGCCAGATAGAGAAGAAAAAATCGATGCTGGGGAGCCAGCAAAATACATGGGCTGTGGACCAAACAGATACTCTAAAACTTGCATTAGTGTTTTAAATTATTAACTTATTATACTGATATTTATCATGCCTCAACAGGTTTTGGATGAAGTTGCTGAGCCTATTGTTCAAGCAAGAGCTTTTATCACAATACCTTCATCATGAACAATTTTATTAAAGATAGAGCCTTGTGGTTTTGTTAATTAGAAACTTTCCCAAGAGGTGGCCCAGTTAAGGCTATTCTTGATGAGGAAGCTGAGGAAGAAGATGAGAGTGATTATGATTCTGCAAGTTTACCTTTATTTATAACACTTTTGGAATATTTGTTCTTAAGAATAGCTCTTTTGGGAATTGGGATATTTGATCCCTTTTGAGTGATTGGGATATTTATTCTTCAAAATGTCTTCGCAAATTTATATTTATTTCTACTACTTTTGATTGATCAAGTAAGAAATGAGGTATTTCTATTTGTGTATTTCTTAATAACTTAAATACAGTAACCCAAGGGCCAAACTTGATAAATAAGGAATAAGTAGCTATTAAAAATAGTTATTTTGAATTTTTTGTTCTTTAGGACGCCTCTACAAGTTTAATATGCCTTCTATTTACACCAATTTTGATATTAGAACTCTCAATTCTTGACGGTTGATGGATCCACAATGTAACATTGTAACGGAGTATTAAAAAGAAAGTAGTGACCAATATTTCATTTTGCAAGATGTTGTAAATGTCTTTTCTATTTTATTAAACAAGACATTGATTGGTTTGGAGATGCAAGTATGTGACCTAGGGTAGACATTTTCCCTTGATGTATATGAAAAAGTGATGACACCCGTTGGAAATTGTTGGTGTTTTTGTGACGTTCGGTTTTTACGTATGGAATGTTATTAATTGCAATTTTAATAATTTGTAAATTGAGTGCTTATTTAAATTCTAATTCCGATTAAAAAACAAAAAAAACTCATTAAAATTCTAATACTACGTACTCCGTATTTGTTACTATTTATTTATTAATTTATTAATTAATATTAAAATTCTTACTTATTTGTTATTAATATTTGAAAAAATATTACGATCTAATTACGTTTATAGGTTAACATTAATAATATCTTCATTTTACATCCCATGCAACGCACGGGTGGAATACTAGTTTCTTTTAAAAGCTTAATTACTTAATTTTGTAATCACATACCAAAAAGGCAATACATTAATGGTTAATACGTACAATCAGGCATACCGCATACACTCATACAACATATCCCAATTCCTTAATGTTGGAAAATCTCTAAAGTCTAAATTATCTGTTGCTAATTTAACTATATACATAAATATATGCATTTAAATAAATTGAAAAACATGAAATTGACCTTGAAGTTAAGGCTCAAAGCTAATGAAATTGCTGAAAAATTGGACATGTGCGGGTGATGGCTATGCCTCTGCCATATGCTGGCAATGCTGCTGTGAGCCTCTGATTGCTCAAGAGAAGAAGCTTTTGGATGAATATTGGAACGTGCTATGCCAGTTTATGTAAACATCTGATCAAAACTGCCATACGTTGTATCATCTGATCAATGCTGCTATTTATGTAAACACCGTATTAACTAGTTGTATCCGGTTAGAATCAGAATTTTCCAGTTATAATTCGGATCGGAAACTGGTTTTCCGAAATATAGGAACCGAAAATTGGACCGGATTATATCTGGGTTGGTTTAGTTCTGGTGATTCCGTTTCGGCCCGGTTTTTCGGTTTGGCCCGATTAATGCACCCCTCTATTGGAGGCTTGAAGCTTAATGCCTTGGGTTTTTCAGATCATTGGGATAATGGGCTCCTTTATGCTCAATGCCCTCTCTTTTTTTGTGATTACATAAGCAGACTTTGAAGCTCGAGTGTAAAAAACATTAATTTGGCTTTCTATATATGTATTTGCCCCAACTGTGTTTATCATAGTGACTAGTGGAAGGAATCTTTAACAATAAGGTTGTTTTTATATGTAGATATGAGTTATTGTGTATTTCTTTTGCAGTCATTGGTCATATTTTCTTGCATTTTAGTGGGTCAGCTAGGCATGTTTTTTATTTATGAAAGTACTCTACATCACTTGATCAACTATATAAAAATGGTTATCTATTATCACCAACAACATTTAAGCCTTATCTATTACCGATTCAAAAAATGTGGTGATCACTTAATTTAGTGTTCCAAATTTCATAAGAAAGCAAATGCTTCAAAGTGAGCTATTTGGGCAATAGGATGACGAAACATCATTCGGAAGGAAAAGTTGAACGTCAAAAAAGTGGAGAAGAAATAAATGGAACTCAATGGGCCAAGATATTTTATGGATCGATGTAGTTATGAAAATGAGAGCTTGGAAAGGGATGGATCTGGTTCGGTTCTGGTCCCGGGCCGACCTGTCCTGATCCGCCATTTTTTGGCCCAGAACTGACTGGAAGTATACGGGTCCCTATCCCAGGCCGGTTTGCGCCTTCTTTGATTTGTTTTAAATTAGGGCTCGTTTGGTAAGATGTAAAGTTAAACACTTTACGTGTAAAGTGGAGGAGAGTAAACAGTTATACCTTTTGTTTGAATTATTTGATGTAAACTATAAGACACTTTTTAAAACATTTTACACTATCCCATGTAAAATATTTTACATGGGGGATGGTAGTAAACTACTTTACATTGTTAATACTTCGTATAAAATATATCAATTTCTTTTGAAAGCTTAAAATATATCAATTTAAACTATTATGATTCAATGATTCCTCATATCGTAAAGCTCAGTGTCTCCACTCTTCTTGTTGTCCTTCAGCCAGCACCTCCTTCGGCCAGGTCTTTCCTCGACCAGCATTTCATTTACTTAGCTTCGTGAATTCATGTAATCAGCCCATCAAAGGTCTTATATTGTATTGGGCCTCCTAGGTCCAAGACCCGAGACTCCAACCCACATTTCCTCTATAAACACTCCCCCTGGGGTAGTTGTAGGGTTATTGAAATATTAATTACAAGCACTTTCTTTCTCTAGCTCCCGCTTCTCATGACCGAACAAATGACACAACTCTTGCTTCAACACTAAGGACGATTTCTAAATCAAGAAACCATTCCTGAGATTGACGAAGAGATGGAGAATGCCGCCATCGAGGAGAAGCCCCGGTGAGAGAGGAGAAGGAAGGCGGGATACTCCCAAGAAAGAGAAAGGGAGTGGCGGCTGCGGCGCCGGTTCATCGGAACAACCCGAACAAGGCAACTTCCAACATTCATCCTGATTTTTTTTAATTTTATTTTAAAAAGGTTAAAGATCTGACGGACTCGGTTTGGACATTCAAATATTGTCCTAAAATATTGTGGAATCTTGGGGCACAACACCGTGAGCAAGCAGGGTGATGATGTTGTTCATATAGGGGGTGTTTGGAATTGATTCAGCATCTACTTTTTTTTTAAATTAAAACAGAAACAGAATCAGTTTTCAGAAACTGGTTCCCCCAAATTCTAAAAAAACTGCTTCTAGGAGTAAATTGGAGAACCAAAAGTACTTCTTCACATTCACCCGAACACTCCATCAGAATAATACAAACACCTTGAAGGAGTATAAACAGTTTTAAGAAACACATCCAAATAGCACATAATAATGATAATGAAGAAGAACATGTGGCTGAATTAGAAAGAGAAAACTGTCAAATAAGTCCTAGTTTTATTATCAAAAAGTCAATCAGTCAATCAAATTCATATACTTATAAAAACGCTCAAATTGTCTATTTAGCCGTTATTTGACAAGTTTCCCGTTAAAATGCTTATGTGGCACCGATGAGACACTTGTTTGGCACTTTTTCTGATTTCCCCTTTATTTTTTTTCTAATTTCTCTTATTATCAATAATTTTACTCTCCCCACCATCAATGCTCGACACTCCATTTCCCCTGTTGTGGAAGCCGGCAACAAAGCACGCCAATAGATCCTCGGGAACTGCATGTTGGATTTCTCCTTCACAAGCCCACTTGGCAACCGCCTTCTTCTCGGAGATCAAAAGTTCTTTGGTTTCATTCAGATTTCTCCATCACTGTCGCATCAGAAACCAGAGGCGTGGAATCTATAATTTTTCTTCCGTCATACAAACTTTCCGACACCTAGAAAAGGAAAAACTTTTAAATCAAGACAATGAAGTTGTAGAAAGAACTACACTGGGCAGAGAGGTGGAGGAGGGAGGTCCGGAGGGATAGAGTTTCACTGTTTCAGAGGCATGGAATGGTTGGGCCTCCACTATCGAATCGAGAAGCATAGAGAAGAAGAAGAAGGTGGGACTGTGGGAGTAATGACTAATGAGATGAGAAAAAAATAAAAGGCAACTAAAATTATCCAAAGTCGGGATGTGGAGGTAGTCATGGACCCGGGCCAGGTCGGGCCCAGGGTGGGCCTAGGCTCGGTCGGGCCTCGGGTTTTTTTAAGGAGGCCCGGGAACGGCCCGGGTAGCCACAGGGTCCGGTCCGGGCCTCGGGTCAATTTTTTTCCTTTTCCTAATTATCCCCCAAACCACCCCAAATGGCCCAAAATACCCAGCCCAACCTGAAAAGATAAAAAAAAAATGAAAAAAAAAATTAAAAGCCCGGAACCGGCAGGGCCGGTTCGGCTTTTTGGTGACCCGAGCCCACACCAGGAACCCCCCGGGCCGGGCCTTCCCGGACCTGTCATTGGCCGGGCTATCGGTCCGGGCCGGTTCAGCACAGTACCGGTTCCGGGTCAGGCCACCTAGCCCGAGTCCATGACTGTGTGGAGGTTAACTATTGGCCAATTTAGCCAGATGAACTCGCCAATTAGTGGTTAAATGGACAATTTGAAGTTTTCTTATAAGTACATGGACTGGATTGAATGACAATTTAGTGCGAAGACATAATTGACTTTTTGATAATAGTACGCGGACTTATTCGATAATTTTGTCAATTAGAAAAAGGCTAAAGGGTCAAATAGGCCCTCCAATTAACTTAAAAGTGCAAATTAGCCCTTATATTAGGGGTGGGCGCGGTCCGGAACGGTCCGAGAAATTAGTAAAACCCGTAATGTATCCGCGATGTTTCTAACAGTCCGGTACGGTCCGGTTCTAAAGATGGAACCATTCGGTACCGTGTCGTTTCGGAACGGTACAAAACGGTACGGTACAATGCCAAACACATGCTAAAAATTGGACAAATCTTGCAATTAGTAGATATCATAATATCAACCAACTCGCATGAAATTTCGATATAAATACAAGAAATTGCATACGTAGTACTAAAATTCACAAACACACAAATAGTGCAACATAACTAAGAAAAAGTATAGCAAAATGATTATACATTAGATAAATATCATCTTAAATTTACTAAGTTCATGTTAAAATATAAAAAGAATATCATCAAGTTGTTGAATGTAATAGAAAAATTCATCGTTCTTCTTCTTCTTCTTTGTTCTTGGTTAAATTAAATATTAGTTCTAATTTAATTTATAGTTGGACGTGAGAGAGAAAATCTAAACCATATTAATTAAGTTGTAAAATTGCGCAAACATGATACAACAATAAGTCGTATACACTTAATTACTAGAAAAGAATAGTCATTAATAATTGTTAAAACTTTAACTTTCTTTCAATATATACCAAAATATAACACAAATTATCTAAAAAGAAAAAATAACAATATACATATAAACACACACATTTAACTATTCTAGGGACATATGAATACATATGTGGGTATAAAATTGTTGGTCTATAAAATAAATTTATTGGTGTCAAAAAATATAAAAATTCAAATGTATTATTTTTGAATAGTACGGTTCGGTATTTTTCGGTTCTCAAAATCTATGACCCGTCCCGTACCCGTTTCAAATGGTACGGTTTCAGTTCGGGATAAAAATCTATAGAACCGTTTAAATACCCGATATTCGGTTCGGTACCATTACGGGCCGGTTCGGTACCGGTTCGGTTCGAGTTTTATGCCCACCCCTACCTTATATAAGAGGCTCAGTCCGGCCGTCGTCATTTGAGGCGGTTCCCTGTGGAATGTTTTGATAAAATTTTTTGAACATCTTCTTCATTAAGTCTAGTTTATCAATATCAAATTTCAGATAAAAGTTCAATTAGAAAGATAGTAAAATGATTTTCTGAAATGTACTACATTGTTTAACTTAACACTTATCTTCAAAAATTCATTAATTACCTTCTCAATTGAATTTTTAGCTATAATTTAATATGAATAAACTACGCTTAATGAATAACATTCTAAAAAATTCTTTAGTTAACAAATTCAACTAGCGATAATGGAAGGGTGGACAAACCAAGTAGATTGTGGACTAGCGAGCACGTGAGAACTGAGAACCCTCTCCGAACATGTGTTGATGGCATTCCGTCACTATACCGTTCGTTCTTTTCCGGCGTGGCACTGCCGGCGATATATCTCGTCGAACCCTTCTACCTCATACTCATCCAAAGTCCTCCTTCTTTGGAAGCCCGACGGCACTGAATCCGACAAATTCGTAACAGTTCAGCTATTCTCCTGGGGACGCGGCGCCTCAGGCCAACTAGGTGGCGGCATTGAAGAAATCCGCATATGCCCCGCTCCCGTTGCATCCCTATCACTCCCCTCTACTTTCCGGTTATCTTCACCCGTTCCCGGACGTCTTCCTTCCGCTAATCCGCTTCCTGCTCTTCCAGAGAACGAGGGAGAAGTTCCCGTCGAAGTAGGTATTTCATGCGGGATATTCCATTCGTCATTGATAGTGGATGGGAATCTATGGATATGGGGCAAAGGAGATGGCGGCAGACTTGGATTTGGCCACGAGAACTCAGTCTTCGTGCCCACTATGAACCCTATTTTGGGATCTCTCCGGAGTGTCGCACTTGGCGGTCTGCATTCTGTCGCCCTAAACGTCCATGGCCAGGTCTTCACTTGGTCTGTGCTTAATCCGGTCTGGATGTTTTTTTTCCCAACAAGGAATTAACTACTTTAGTTACGACTATTGAAACTTTTGTTTTTCATGTTTTCAGGGGGTATGGCGGTTTTGGGGCCCTTGGACATTCTGTGTATACCAGAGAGCTGTTTCCTAGATTAGTGGAGGCTTCTTGGGATGGGGAAATAAGTCACATTGCAACAAGTGGAACACACACTGCTGCTATCACGAAATCTGGTCAGGAGCTTGATTATTTGCTGGTATTACATTTTTGCCTATCTAGCTGGGGTAAAACAATGAATAGAATGAAGGAATGATATTTTTGTCCTGAGTCATTATAATCAAGGTTTGAAATTGCGTGTTGCGGATTGCATATTGCTTAATCGTGGAGTGTTTTTTGTTAAAGTTGCATGTTGCTCAAGACCCATTGCGGAATGAGGCTTATGCCTGAGGCGTAATATATATGTGTGTGTGTGTGTGTATAAACACAAAAAAATAAACATATTCATAAAAAACATCAATGTCATATTCAAACAAATTATATTGAGGTCATAATCCTAGCAAATTAATACGTCAAAGTTCAAACCATAGAATAGCAAAGATTTCTGAACCATTCATCAAAACAAAATTCCTAACATATTAAAATATAAGGTTGTTAGATCAATGACTGAAAAGTCGAATCATCACTATCTAGTGGTTTGAAATACAGATCATAACCAACCACTGGCCATTTCCTCCATCATCAAGGTTGTGACAAATGAAGACATGGGAAGAATACGAAGGGATGCCAAATAATCCCCAAAACGCGCCTAGCATCTTGCAAATAACAATTATAATAATATATGCAAAGGGAAAATATCAATTATAAAATTTAAAAATGAGACCGAGTGGACCCAATTAATACCCTTACACTCTGACCTCCTATTGCGTATGCCTCCTAGTGACATAGTGGCCTAATGCATATGCAATATTGCATACATGATACGCCTCACTGTGATGTTGTGTACACCCTAGTCCCAGCGCCGTATTAAATTTTTTTACGCCATATTCCAGGAATTAGATGAGGTGTGCCATGAGGCAGAATGGCCTTGCGCAATTACAAACAATGGTTGTAATTTCCGTGTTAAAACTTTTGAATTTTGCAGGGAGGTACACAAGTTCTTTTGACTTTAATGTATATTTTTATACTTCTCTATTTAACTTTAGGAATTCAATCTATATTTTTTTTACTGATCTTCCAAACTTGACCATATTAACTTTTCTTACATCAAATGTTTTTGTGACCTGGAAACAGTGAGAATTTCATTTTGTGTTGTGACGTAAACGAGGTAGAGAAGTCATTTAGTAAGGTTCCTTTTGGGAGTGCACTTTTCTTGACCATCAATTATTTTTAGGATGAAGGGAGTATGATATAGAAGTTGTATTATCATTGAGTGGTGTATACTAATGGATTTGAGCTATATAACACTGAAGTAATACACTCTGCAAGGTGTGGACAACATGATTCTTACTAGAAAACTTCAGATCCCAAATTCCTAATCTTTTTAGAAAAGGTTGATTTGCATCTCCATGGTAATTAGGAGTGGATTTTATATACTGTACAGTTAGAGTGTGCATAAGGTACTTACCCCCCTCCCAATGGTTATTTGTTGCGTGCTTGCATAAAAGTATTTTTACATTGTCCAAAAGAAACTCAGAGATCAGAACTATCCGGTTATACTACATCCTAAGAAAAGTATTTTTTTTTAATTAAATAGCTATGTATGTGTATGCCTTTATTGATGTTAGAACCATTCTGGTTATCCTACATCCCTACATTTTAGTTAGAGAAAAGGGTCAAATAAGGCCTTAACTATTATGAAATCGTCACATAAGGCTATGTACAGATGTACTCAATAACGTGTCATATAAAATCGTCTACTTATAAAAAACAATCAGATGAGTCCTAATGACCCGTTGGCAAACTCTTAATCCTGATTTTAGCTTACATGTCAATTTTTTTGACTTATATTTCAACCAATCTTACATAAATATTCGACATGTGCCGTATAATCTATTATAAAAAGATGGTTTAAAGAACACTAAAATCGTGATTAGAAGGTTGTAAATGGGTCGTTAGGAATTATTTGATTGCTTTTTACAAGTAGACGCATTTATATGACACTTTATTGAGTAATTGGTCTTATATGACGATTTCATAATAGTAGAAGACCTTATTTGACCCTTTTCTCTATTAGTTAAAATATTTTTCTGAATAGTCTGTACTAATTAATATTAATAACTTATAAAAGTCAAGTAGAAAGTTTGACTAAGTTTTTATTCATTCACTCAAACTAAGTAGGTGAACTCTATACATGGGGAAGAGATGAAGGGGATGGACGATTGGGGTTTGGTCCTCAGCGAGGGCCAAATGAAGCTGGCGGTCTAAGCATCCCTTCAAAAGTGGAAGCACTTCCGGTGAGAGTAGCTGCTGTTTCATGTGGTGGGTTCTTCACAATGGCACTGACTGAAGATGGCAAACTCTGGAACTGGGGAGGTAATTCGCAGCTTGCCATGTTTTGTGGCTCTTCTTATTACAGTGCTTCCTTCCTATCAATAATCAAATGAAATGTGTGCTCATAATTTTCCTTAGATTTCCGTCCTAACAATAATAAAATGAAATGCGTGCTCATAATTTTCCTTAGAATTCCCTCCTAACAATAATCAAATGAAATGTGTGCTCATAATTTCCCTTAGATTATATAATGGGATTTGACTTTGCACCTCATATTTTGGGCAAAATTGGACTTTGTAATCCATTTTAAAAATCATGTGTACCCATCTAATTAAGAAAATTAATGTTTACCCGGCTGCTCCCATTCCTTCACAAAATTTTGAATTGATGGGGTGCACACGTATTAACTATTAACTTTTTTGAAAATGGGGTGCAAAGTCAATCTTCCCTATTGTTAATTACTACAGGTATTTTACTACATGGACCTTTGGCTATGGTACTACTTCATTGCTTTTTAATAGGGCTTGTATTTCTCAATTCTGACTAGTGTAGGGAAGTTTTCATGGTATTATTTGGACTCCACTGTCAACCGGCTATTAGATCAAGATTTAATGAGCAATATTAAAGCAGTTGAGTTTTTTATCATTATATATGTGTGTTTATATTTTATAATTATACGTATTAAAGATCATTATATATTTTATCATTATAATACTTCGTCTCTCCCGGAAACAACTTCCCGGTTTGACTTGCACATATATATATATATATATATGCAAAATAAAGTTCTTTTTTGAATTTCTAAATATACCTCTACTTTATGTCAAATCAAGTAAAAAGTAAGGGCAGTTTTGACATTTGCTTTTATGTATTTTCTGGGAATGAGAAAGTTTATTTTGGACGCCCAAATAAGGAAAGTGGGAAGTTGTTTTGGGGATGAAGGGAGTATATATTGAAGAAAAGGATATATATATATATATATATATATATATATATATATATAGAGAGAGAGAGAGAGAGAGAGAGAGAGAGAGAGAGAAAAGATCAGGTGAGAAGTGCCCCTTAAAATGAGAAGTGAGAAGTAATCTCAGCCCTTAGATTTGCATCTGATTTTACAACGCAGTAAACTTATAGACTAAATATAGGAACTTATAACCAATAAATCATAAATTATAAAGCTCTCCGTAATAAATACGAAAATGCCACCGCGTCAATTTTTTTTCCAGGTTTCCGTAATTTTTTTTTGTGGTGGCATTTTCGTAATTATTTTCGAGGTGTCTATAAGTTATGATTTATTGGTTAAAAGTTCCTATATTTAGTCTATAAGTTTAAATTCGCAGTTCTCAGCCTAAGAGCACTTCTCACCTGATCCGCTCCCTATATATATGAATATGAATGTGTGTGTATTCTATGTGAGCTCATTCCAATTATATGTATAATGTTTTTAGTTACTCAATAAAATTCATATTCGAATTGAAATTATTTTATTGTTTTTCTACCAATTTTATTACGCAAGAACATATTTATGTGTCTCAATTTTCTGTTGATCTTATCTAGTTAGCTAATTGAGTGTTATAGAAAAATGTCATGCCTAAAAGCTGCATGGACTATGATGGCATACATGATAATGTAAAATGTGACCGTTAGTTCTGGATAAGGTCAGGTGCACATAATTTTTATTTTTATTATTATTAATGATGTAGCTCAAAAATTAAGTTGATTTGTAGCATGTAATTATATACTTTTGGCAGCTAACTCTAACTATGAGCTTGGAAGAGGGGAGAAAGGCAGTGGCTGGAAGCCGCAACCAAATCATACTCTCAAAGATGTCAGTATAGTTCAAATAGCTACTGGTGGATATCACTCTCTTGCTTTGACAGGTAACCATGAATTGTGTCTTAACTTATTATGTAACATACATGCAAGGCTTTTATTGTCTGCTGTATATTCCCATGTTCGTTTAGTGAAAAATTATACGTATCTATAGTTCTATACTTATTTGTTCTTTTGATGACATCCACACTTGCAGATAAGGGAGAAGTCTTTTCATGGGGGTATGGTGGCCATGGTCAGTTAGGCCATTCTTCTCTCCAAAATGAGAAAGTTCCTTCCAAAATTGAGGCTTTGTCTGATGAAAAGGTAACCTTTATATCTTGTGGCGGTTCATCATCGGCAGCGGTAACAGGTAATGTATATACACTATGCGCATGTACAATATGTCTGTTCATCTGAGTTCCCCACTTGTGCATATATGTCTGTTCGTCTGAGTGACAGACCCCATTTTAAGTCCCTGGAATTTATTTGTTGCTAATTGAACCTAAATACCCTAGTAGTGTAAGGTGTTAGACATTGTATAACCAACCCCACTTATGGGCCGCGCGCGTTTCACTTATGGGTTAGGGTTATTGTTCTTTTTAAATACCCGCTCTCTCATTGTAATCATGATCAGAAAATAATAGTAACATCTTGGCTTGGTAGCGCCTCCAGACGTAGTCATTCTTGGCAATCTGGGTCACCAAATTCTTGTGTCTTTCTTATTGTTTTTCGTATTGTGTGTGTTTAATTCCTAACAAGTAGCAGCCAAAGGTTAACATTTCCTCAGCACATGACTTCACAAGCTTCCACATATTCAAAAGTGCAAAAATCTCCTCCTGCCTATCATGATCTAGACCCTAGTAGGTTGTAATCCTCACGATAAAGTTTTTTGGTTGATTTTTTGGCATAATTTATTCCGATTTTTATGTGGAATGCATCACTATTTAATGTGCAAATGAAAATTAGATGAAGTGCAAAATCTCAAAATGAAGGATAACGTGTGATTACTATTCCAGATACCATGATGTCTCAACAGAATACACACATACATGCGACAGTGCAAGTCTTTTAAATAGTCCTTCATTCACATGAAAAAGAAAAGTTTGGTACTCAATTTTGCCATTATAAAAAAAATATCATGTTGTTTATACCATCAATGACATTAGAGCATTGGGTAAAGCCGTAAAGGGCTTGAAAGGCTCTTAGGACTGATTTTTGTTGTTGGCAGAGGATGGGAAATTGTACATGTGGGGAAATGCAAAAGATTGTCAACTAGGAGTTCCTGGCCTGCCAGAGATACAGTCATCTCCTGTTGAAGTTAAGTTTCTTGTTGACGACGATGGACTGGAATGTCATCGTGTTCTTTCAGTATCTATCGGCGCTTCTCATTCCATGTGCCTCATTTCTAGGTCAGGCTGTTGTTAGAATATAGTTTGATGAAACAACTCGTGTGTTTAAATATAGGTGCTGTTTCTGCTTTTACTTTCTTCATCATTATTATCAATTATATTTTTGCTCAGAATGGTTGTTTTTTCAAAAAGAAAAAGATTAAACAAACACGAGTTTCCAAATATATAGCTGCTGAGGGTAAGACCCATAGGTTGGCTTGATCCGGGTAAAAAACATCAAACATGTGAATAACCCATAGGTTGGCATCAATTATAATTTTCATTTGTGAATCACGATTCATAGACAATACTACACAAGGTACATACCTTCAAATTACCGCACAAACAAAACAAGACGAAAATAGCAACACAACAAACAATATTGCCCAACTCACTGACAAATCCAAAGGTAAATAAAAACATTGCTGTTAATCACTTCATACGACAAATCCATTAATGAGGAAAAGTCACAGACAAGCTTTAGTTGAGACAAATCCTTAAACAGACCAATGATGAGGAAATTAACCTCGCTACAAAATCCCGCCCTTTATGAACACCTTAATCGAATATGGGATCTTGATTAACAGTCCAAATAACCTTCAAAATAAAATGTGGTTCAATATTAAAATGAAACTAACCTTTCCGCCATGGTTGTGAGTTCAGTTCGCACAGCCCTTCTCAAAGGTCAGACTTCATTGCCTCCGAGTTCACGTTGGTCACAGGTCAGATGTCACCTCTGATGTTGGGTATATTTCGAGGACTGTGGGGATGGAGGTTCAGAACGTCAAGGGATAAGAGTTTTGTGGGGATGTGGGAAGACTGGAGAGTGAACAGTGGGTGGAGGCGGGAGTTTTGATTTTGCTATATTCAAGGAATTGATTCGATGAATTAGCTAGAGTTGTAGGAATTCTAAAGAAAGAAATAGAATTCGAACAAAGAGTAAACAGATTGCAGAGCATAGAAAAGAAGATATCGTATTATTCAAGCTATCCAAAACGTACATTCTGGGCTTATTTATACACAGTGTTTAACCGCCCCCATCTAACGGTTCAACTAATCGGTCAACTACAATTAACTAACAGCCCCAATACCCGTTAAGGGTTATACATCTGCCATGTAGCTACAATCTACCCATGGCCTGCCACGTGGATAGCTATATACAACTCATAACAATCCACTCCCCTTAAAACAAGCTTGTCCTCAAGCTGCAAGGGAGCGGTTCACAAAATCTGGGAACCTTTTAGCTAAATCTTCATATTTCTCCCATGTAGCATCATCCTTGTTCCCATTTGCCCATTGAACTAGCCAGTACACTGCTGCTATATTTCCCACCTTAGCTAATTTTCTTTCTAATACAGACAATGGTTCCACACTCAACAATCCACTGTCATCCATATTAGGTAGAGTATAACTTGTAGGCAGATCACCAAAATGCTTCTTGAGTTGGGAGATGTGAAAGACAGGATGTATTTTTGCATGATCAGGTAATTTCACCTTGTATGCTACCTGCCCAATCTTTCTTATAACTTCAAATGGTCCAAAGAACTTAGGAGATAGTTTCTGATTGCTCCTATAAGCCACAGATTGTTGCCTATAGGGCTGCAGTTTAATATACACCCAATCCCCTTCTGAGAATTCCTTGTCAGTTCTTCTTTTGTCGGCTTGAGTTTTCATTCTGTCTTGAGTCCGTTTTAAATGAAACTTCAGCATCTGAATACATTCTTCTCTAGCATTTAAGCTACGATCCACAGCCTCCACTAGACTGTCCCCTTTGATGTAAGGAAGATGTATTGCGGGTGACTGACCATATACTACTTCATAAGGGGTTCTGCCTATAGCTGAGTGATAGTTGGTATTGTACCACCACTCAGCTAAAGGAATCCATCGCGCCCATTCTTTGGGATGTTCTCCAGGCATGCAACGAAGGTAGGTCTCCAAGCATTTATTGACAACTTCCGTTTGACCATCTGTTTGTGGATGGTATGCAGTAGATAATCTCAGGTCTACTTGCTGCAGTTTGAAAGTTTCTTGCCAGAATTTGCTGAGGAAGATTTTATCTCTATCACTTATAATTGTTTTAGGCAGTCCATGCAACTTAAAAACCTGTTCAAAGTACTCCTTTGCTACTGTGCTAGCTTGATATGGATGAGCTAACAAAATGAAATGGGCATATTTACTAAGGCGATCCACCACCACAAGTATTGTGTCTTTGCCCATTGATTTTGGTAAGCCTTCTATGAAATCCATGGAAACATTCACCCAAATAGCTTCGGGAATTGGCAAGGGTTGTAAAAGACCAGCAGGTGCTTCTAAAAGAGGTTTATTCTTCTGACAAATGATGCAACCTCTTATAAAGTTCCTTATATCCTTCTTCATGCCCTTCCTATAGAACAAAGCTTGGATCCTTTTATTTGTTGCTTGAGTTCCAGAGTGTCCCCCCAAGGAAGAACTATGTAAGAGCTGAATGATATCCTTCCTTAAGTTCTCATCTTCTCCTACAACCAGTTTTCCCTTTCTCAACAACTTATTCTGTAAAAAAGAATACTTCTTTTCTGAATTGGGTTCTTCTTTCAATCTCATGATCAATTCTGCAGCCCATCCACTTTCCCAACTTTTTTGTATTTTACTCAAGAGATCAGATTGCACTTCAGTCAATATCATACTGATCAATTCTCCATTATCTACTCTTGAAAGAGCATCTGCTGCCACATTCTCCTTGCCTTTTCTGTACTCAATTTCATAATCTAGTCCCATGAGTTTAGGTAGGCATTTACTTTGGAATGGTGTGGTGATTTTCTGTTCCAACAGGTATTTCAGACTGAAATGGTCTGTTTTAATAATGAAATGATGCCCCACTAAGTATGCTCTCCATTTTTCTACAGCCAAGATAACTGCCAGCAATTCCTTTTCATAGGTGGAGAGTGTTTTATTCTTTTCAGATAAAGCCTTGCTCAAGTATGCTATGGGGTGCTGCTTTTGAGAAAGGACAGCTCCAATTCCCTTATCTGAAGCATCGGTTTCTATCACAAAAGGATGTTGGAAGTCAGGTAGAGCCAACACTGGTGCTTCACTCATAGCCTTTTTAAGCTGCATAAAGGCCTGTTCAGCATCTTCATTCCATGTAAAAGCATTCTTTTTTAACAAGCAGGTTAGTGGTTTGCTTAGTATTCCATAATTCTTGATGAATTTCCTGTAGTACCCAGTCAGACCCAAGAATCCCCTTAAACCTTTGATATTTCTTAGAGTTGGCCATGTTTGCATAGCTTCAATTTTCCTGGAATCAGTAGCTACTCCTTCCTTTGATATAACATGCCCCAAGTATTCCACCTCTTTCACTCCAAAAATGCATTTGCTCTTCTTAGCAAATAGTACATTTTTTCTGAGAACTTCCAAGGTTAGTTGTAGGTGTTGTAGATGTTCTGTCCAACTGGAGCTGTAAATGAGAATATCATCAAAAAATACTAATATGAATCTTCTCAGGTAAGGCAGAAATATATTGTTCATCAAACTTTGAAAAGTGGAAGGGGCATTTGTGAGTCCAAAAGACATCACTAAGAATTCAAAATGCCCCACATGAGTGCGAAATGCAGTCTTTTCTATGTCTTTTTTCCTCATTCTTATCTGCCAATAGCCAGATCTCAAATCTATTTTGGAAAATACACAGGATCCATGTAATTCATCTAGTAATTCATCAATGATGGGAATAGGAAACTTATCTTTTACAGTTTGCTTGTTCAACTCTCGGTAGTCAACACAAAACCTCCATCCCCCATCTTTTTTCTTGATCATGACCACAAGTGCAGAAAATGGGCTTTGACTGGGCTGAATGATGCCATTTTCCAGCATTTCTTGTGTAATATTTTCAATAGCATCCTTTTGTATCACAGGATATCTGTATGGTCTGACATTAATGGGAGTGGTTCCAGGTTTGAGATGGATCTTATGGTCATGCTCTCTATGCGGAGGTAGCTGTTTTGGTTCTTCAAATATATCAGCATATGAGTTAAGTAACTACTCTAACTCTTTTTGTTGATTTTCAATTTCTGTTGCACTGACAGAGGGGTCCTTCTGAATGTCGTGAGTGCTTTTCACTTGAATAACTAATAGCTGTCCACTCCAATTGCCTTTTTCCTTCTGCATTTCTTTTAGGCTTTGAATACCATTCATCCAACATAAGCTGCTCTTCTTACTTCCTCTTAGAACCACTCTTCTCCCCAAGTAGTTGAATTCCATAGTTAGTTCTTGGAAATTCCAAATGATTTGTCCAAGAGAGGATAGCCACTGAATTCCGAGAACCATTTCACAACTCCCTAGTGGAACCAGCATAGTGTCAGCAACAAATTCTTGGCCATGCAAGTTCCATTTGAATTTCTGACAAACTTGATCTGTGAGTATCTTTTCTCCATTGGCTACTGATACTTCTAAAGGGTAGGATTTAGAAATCCTACATCCCAACTTCTTAGCTGTGTGAATGTCTAAGAAATTGTGGGTACTACCGGAGTCAATCAGAATGTGTAAATCCTTGCCTTTGACTTTCCCCACTACCCTCATGGTATGAAAACTCTGATGGCCAGATAAGGCATTGAAAGATATCAGGGGTTGTTCCTCTTCTTCAGTTGAATATCTCAGAGAACTAGACTCTGTGTTGTTCTCATCTTCAGTTTCTGCTTCTTCCATAGGTTCTGTACTTCCATCTTCTAGAAGGGGCAATATGTGAATCTTATATATTTGTGCTTTGCAAGTATGTCCCGGAACATAGGTTTCATCACAATGAAAGCACAAATTTCTCCTTCTTCTTTCTTCAATATCTAAAGAAGTTAAGGACTTCCTTTTCGGATCCATATTGCTTCTGCCTTGAAAATTTACAGGTTTAGGTAATAACCCTACTTGTTTGGTTGGAATTCCAGGTACAGATCTATACCCTTGCTTAGCTTGATTTTCTCCCATTCTGAATGTAGCTCTGTTAGCATAGTTTCTTCCTACTTTTCTCAATGCTTCCAAACTATTTTCTTGCAATCTGGCATATTCCATTGCTTGCAACAGAGTTCTTGGTTTAAATGCCTTAACAAAATGTTTTATAGTAGGGTTAAGACCCCCTATAAAACTGTCCAAGAAAAATTCATCTGGCAAGATCTCGTTTCTTTGCAACATCAGACCCTTGAGACTCTCAAACTTATCCATATAATCATCTAGAGAGTTAATTTGTTGCAGTTTATTGAAATCTTCTACCACAGATCCACCCATTTCTTCATTAAACCTGGCGCAGATATCAAGAACAAACTGCTCCCATACAATGTTTTTGTGCACAGATACATATCCATTAAACCATGCCTCAGCTCTTCCAGTTAAGTATAAGGAGGCTAGGTCAACCTTCTGATTATGCTCAACTTTACACAAATCAAAATATCTAACACATTTTTGGATCCAACTTCTCGGACATTCTCCATTGAAAAGAGGAAACTCAATCTTAGGGGAAAATCCAAGAGTTCTCGAATGATTACCCCAATTACCGTTCACAGCTGCATGTTCTGGGATAGAATGATTGTGAATTGAGTGATTGGAATGAGCTGAGTGATCATCCTCTCCGTTTACTTTTTTCTGTAATAAGAGTAGCATCGCATCCAATTTCTGTTGTGTTTCAGCAAATTTGAGTTCATTTCTGCGGTTCTGTTCTTCTAATTGTCGTTCCAATCCAGCCACCTTATCCTCCATGATTACTGAAAGAGAAGCTACCGTCAATTTCTTCGCCAGAGTTTCTGCGTCAGAGTTTGCTCTATGTAATGACGGAAGTGAATTTGATCTTCAAATCTCTGATACCAATTGCTATATTCAAGGAATTGATTCGATGAATTAGCTAGAGTTGTAGGAATTCTAAAGAAAGAAATAGAATTCGAACAAAGAGTAAACAGATTGCAGAGCATAGAAAAGAAGATATCGTATTATTCAAGCTATCCAAAACGTACATTCTGGGCTTATTTATACACAGTGTTTAACCGCCCCCATCTAACGGTTCAACTAATCGGTCAACTACAATTAACTAACAGCCCCAATACCCGTTAAGGGTTATACATCTGCCATGTAGCTACAATCTACCCATGGCCTGCCACGTGGATAGCTATATACAACTCATAACAGATTTTGGGAGAGGCACACATGGTGTTGAGCTGAGGGGAGCGGGGAGGGGTAATTTTTTGTTGTGAGCTTTATATAGGATCTACTGGTAGTCATGGACCCGGAACCGGCCCGGGTAGGCAGCGATTCCGCGCCGGGTTCGGCCGGTTCATGTTATTATTTTTTTTAATTTTCTTTTGCTTTCCTAATTAACCCCCGATCCCCCCCCCTCACCCCCCCAAACCCCCACCCCCCCAACCCCCCAAAAAACCCAGACCAACCCGAGAAAAACCAAAAAAATTGAAAAAAAAAGAAAGAAATAGGCGAGGCTGGTTCCACTTCTAGGAGGTTCGAGTCCGCCCCATTTAACTCCCGGTTCGGGTGGCCCGGACCGGTCCTATGACCGGGTACTGGGCCCAAACAGTACCGGTTCCGGGCCTGGCGGCCCGACCCGAGTCCATGACTATGTACTGGTGGGTATTAAAATGTGTACCTAGAGCAAATATGATTTTTTGGGCTTTAGAATGTGTACAAAGAGTAAATTTGTTGCTAGATTTGTTTCCTTGATTCATTCCATTCGGTGATGATAAGAAAGTCGCCAACTCAAATGATGACTTTCATAACTAGGGTAAATTCCAATAGTATTTTGAGAAATTATTTTTAACCTAACAATATTTTGGGGATTATTTATTTAAATAGCATTATTTTTAGGAAAAACTCTAATACTTCCTTGGTATTTATTAGTTGTGATATTTTTCTTTTTGAAAGTTTCAAAGTAATTGTAACATTTTCATTTTACATAATAAAAACTAATCAAAGTTACACAAGACCCTTGCTTCAATTTAATATTGTGTATGACATATTTAATATGTTGCCCTTCATATATATAAATATTATTTCATTACTTCCACTAGAAAGTAAAATGGCTCACTAAACTGTTTGCGCTTCTTTGTTATGAAGCAGCAGTCAGTCCATGCAATTTTGAACGCGATTTTCATTATGGGTCATTCCGAAACAGTCTCTCTGTGCTTTAGTGCAGGGGTAAGACTGCGTACACCCGACCCCCCTTACCCCACCGTAGGTGAGAGCCTTTGCGGCACTAGGTTAAATGAAAATGAAATGAAATGACTTCCACCGGAAAGCAAAGCAACTGAAAATGAGTGACAGTCCATTAAAAGCTGAAAAGGGTAGATTAGAATTGGCACTGGTCGATTGAATGGAACTTGCCCTCCATTGGATCGTGACAAATGCACCCTGATACTTACCTAAGGTGCCGGTCACACCCAATAGTCACAACTCACAAGTCCAGATCTAATCTTATTTTATTTTCATTCATTTACTCTCATTCACTCATCCGTCCACTCCTTTTGCCATGGACGGATCCTTAAGCTAACCGCAACCATCCGCGTCAATAAATTTAATATCTCACCAATTTATAAGTATTCATTTTGTCAATTCAGTTATTCCCTGCAAAATAATATAAGAATTAATGAAAGATAAAAGAATTAATGATTAAACAAGTGTTGTTAAATTGAAATATAATATTTTTTTGGTGAAAGAAAACTTATATTAATATATGAAATTTTATCAATCTGGAACTTGAAAGATGAAATGTATTGATATAAGATCCGAATGATGAAAAATTATTAATTTAGGATTTGAATGATTGAAAACTATTAATCTAGCACATAAATTGTCTTGGATTTTATAAATCTTTTGATTTTAAAAAAAATTAAATATTATTTAGTTTTATTAAAATAACAAACTTTTGTCAAAAAAAGTTTATAAAAAATTAGCAATAAAATTGATAAGAAAAATTAAATAAACCAAAACCTATGAAATGTTAGATCCTATATCGATAATTTTTTATCATTCGGGTTCCACATTGATACATTTCATCTATCGGGTCTTAGATTGATAATGTATCTATATTTCAGGTTCTGAATTGATAAATTTTCTTAAGAATAGGCCCAGTTGCACAAGGCAGCCAGGACAAAACAAGGCTTAGTTCGTGTCGAATGGCGTGACTAAGCGAGAGTTAAAATATGTTGCGAGGTCAACAAGGCTTAGGTTATGTTGAACAGGTGACTAAGCGAAAAAAATGAAAAAAAAAATGTTGCGCAGCTAACAAGATTTAGTTCTTGCCGAACAGCGCGACTAAGTATGATTTAGAATATGTTGCGAAGTCAACAAGGCTTAGGTCATGTCGAACGGCATGACTAAGCGAAATTGAAGTAAGTTGAGAAGTCACCAACGTTTAGGTCATGACGAACGACGCTACGATGCAACAAGTTTTGGATCTTTCTGAACGGCGCAACTAAACAAGGCACAAGAAAATGAAAAATTTGTCAAGTACAAAAACAAACACAAGGAAACAAACAGTTGGGCAAAAATTTATACTCTATGCGGCGCTGCTGGTCGGGATTTACAGGATGAGCAAAAAATAAAAAGCGGAAATGTATTTGCAGGCTAAACTACCTCTTGATCCCCTTCGATATCACCACTGTCTTCATCCTCTGCTTCGGACTCAGTCAACGGATTGGGAACCAAGCCTTTGGCAGAATCCTTAGCTCTTTTCTCATCTCGAGCCCATTTCTCGGTCTAATTGAAGAGGTCTTCGTCTTGGGAGTGATGCGCCATGACGAACTGGGAGGGACCGCACTTATGTAGAATGGGCATCACCGCCTTGGGGATGTGCTGGCAGTCGGCGACATAAGTACTCTTGGCCATAACGTTCGACCAACTTTTCCCTATTAGGGTCTGATCAGCCAGGTCATTGCCCCTATCACAACATTTAGGCCGAGGGAATTGAGCAAGATATTCCCCGAACGTCTCTGCCAGATGAGCGCAGGTGTACTCCTTGGCATCTCTGGTGAACTTCTAAGAAGTCCGATAAGCAACAAGGGTTGCAGCCAGAATGGCAGTCACCTCAGGGGGGCGTCCGGGATGTTGCCCTGGGAAGTCTTGAAGACAACGTGAGCAGCGGTAAGATCAACGTGCAATTGTCCTAGCTCTTGGTTAACCTTGGCCTTGACATCCTCCCATGCCTTGTTGGTCGTCGCGGCCACCTGCTCTGCTGACGTTCGAGCGTCGCCGTCCTCCTAAGCTTGTTTCTCCCATGCAACCTTCAGTTGTAGGGCATATAAACCGGCATGCATAGACAGTTGGGACTCAAGATACAATCCTCAAAATGTAAACTATTAGAAGGCCTCGAGCGGGGAGATGTTCAGAGGAATGGAAGCGGTCGTTGTATAGAGCGATGTGGACAAAGTGTTGCATTGGCGGATCGTTCAGAAGATCCTGGCCATGCATCCCCTGCGGAGCGGGATGAGAACCGGCAGAAGACTGAGCTTGCATAACCCCTTGTTCTTCTTTCTTTTCATAGAGGCTCCCGCACCGCTTAGGTTCCTTAGCTGATGATTGTTCATATTTGAAGATTCGGGCGACAGAGCTGAAAAAAGTAAAACAAAGATATTACTACCGGGTGGCCGAAAAACGTGGCAAGTCGTGCAAAGTGAAGGGCATTTCCCGCAGGAGTAGGTCTTCCCCCTTTCCAACTCAATGATTTGTTCCTCCAAGGCCTTGGACACATGAGGCTCGAAGAACTTTGGGGGATGACTGTTCCTCCTGGGTATTAAGTCGTCCGGGACACAGATGAAGAAGAACCGGTCCTTCCAGCCTTTGATCAAGGTATCGTTCTCGATGAAGAGGCCAGAACCTCCCCTTTGTAATTGTTGATATCGTTCTCAATCAAGTGTTGTAATTGTTCTAGAGACTTCAATAGAACGAGATCCACTTTGCCTCTAATTACTTGCTTGTTCTTTTTACTTTGTTGCCTTAAACACTCGCTAAATAACTCACATAATCCAGGCATTCCGACGAAAGCCATAAAACATAGTCAACTCTCCTAATTTAGCCATTCAAATATTTTTTTCATTTCCTTTCAAAACAAGATACATGTGATTAAAGGTACATCATAGAGCATCATCAATACAATAATGTGTACGGTGAATATATAACACAAGAGGGATTAGGGATAGACCCAAAAATTAAACTAATTGCATTTTTTCTTTCTTCCCATGATCTTAATTGTATTCTTATGAGTGCTTCTTTACAATTTCAAGATTTATATCTAAATGTAAACATTTGATTGACATTGTTGACAAAAAGTTACTCAAAACATACAAAACTACCGAAAGAAAGATGAACGTCTACACTTTGTTTTTCTATCTATTATCCCAGATGTCACATATGTATGGTGCATACTTTTTTAATAAAAAATAGAAATGTCATCAATTTCTCTCATGAGTCATGACATATGTATTTTAACTATATACTCCAATTCTTTCAAAAAAAACTATATACTCCCTCCGTCCCCTTTTAAATGTCTCGTTTTACCATATTGGGATGTTCCTATTTAATTGTCTCATACCTTATTTGGTAAATTTTGTGTGGCTCAAAATCATTCTTACTTTATTCTTACTTTATCAACTAATATCAACCACACAAACTCACTTTTCCTAAAACCCGTGCCACCATCTCCCGTCCCATTTAAAAGGGGATGGGGGAATATAATCTAATGGAAAATTCTTGGTGTACACCTTTTTATACACATCAGTACACCCCATTGTCTGTGAGATTTTTTTTTGTCTGTGAATGCCAGTTCACAGACAAAACCTAACTTGTTTTGTCTGTGAAAAATTCCACAGACAAAACAAATCAGGTTTTGTCTGTGAACTGACATTTATAAACAAAAAAACTCTTAAAGACAATGGGGTGTATAAAAAGGTGTACAAAAACAATTTTTGTAATCTAATTTGTACTTATATATACACACGAAGTAGGATTATGGAGTGCTCCAAGATTACTTTAATTAACAGTGAGGGGGGCTGTATGGATTGGTATATGGATGATTTGACATATAATCAACCGTAGCATTCAACATCTAACCAGACAAGAACGGCGAAATTGCAATTCCGGGTCGGGTGCATCATATTCGGGTTTGATCGGATGTGATCTACTTCTCTTCCAAATCTATTCACCGACGGTGAAGACAGGGGATTCACAGAGAAGGCGAGAGAGTGTCACATTACAGTCAGGAGCACTGGAGACGGTACATGAGACCGGCCAGCCTCTGAAGCCGCCGGGGAACGGTCAGATCCGCTTTCGGTCGCCATCGGCCGCTGAACTCTTGGACGTGCAGCATTCCTCCCCGCCTCCTCCGCCACTTCCCTCCGATCCAATGGAGAAGTCACTTAAGCGCAACCGCGCCCAACACGACCTCATACCCGATGTGATCCAACGATACCGCGGAGTTCTCCTTCTCATCTCTGTTCCTCTACTGCTCATTACTTTCGTCCTCTTCGTCATGCCCTCCCGATCCCCCGCTAATTCCCTCGGGTCCCTAAATCGCAAGCTCTCTCCCGACTTTGGATCTAAGAAGTACGCCGTCATCTTTGACGCCGGAAGCTCAGGCAGCAGGGTCCACGTCTTCTGTTTCGATAAGAATCTGGATCTGGTTCCTATCGGCAATGATCTAGAGCTTTTTGAACAGGTAACTTAATACGAAGCGATGCATATGCAATTACGCACCGAGTGTGTGTGTGTGTGTGTACCTGCCCATACGGTGTTAAGTATTCAATAGCTTCATGCTAACACGCGATGTTCATGCATGGGGGTGCATGTGTCATTCATTCATTTGCAGTAGACACTACTAGTTTATCTTTGAATTCTTTATCCATGAGCTCTTGACACTCTTCCTCCATCTTATTTTGATACAATAGTTAAAACCAGGTTTGAGCGCTTACCCCAAGGACCCTAACGCTGCTGCAAACTCACTGTCGTCACTTCTAGAGAAGGCTAAGTCTGTAGTTCCTCTTGAAGCTCAACCCTACACCCCTGTTAGAGTTGGGGTTAGTAAATTTAATTATATCTCTTAGTACCAGAGAAGCTTTTTTCTTGTTTGGAAATGTGACCTTCTAGCCTGCATTGGCGCTTACTGCTTGCTATGGATGTGCTACACAGGCAACTGCTGGTTTGAGGCAGTTGGAAGGCAATGCACCTGAAAGGATTCTGCAAGCGGTACACTTGATTTATTCCTTTACATTCCAAATTAGGTTCAGTTTTCCTTAGTGAGCATGCCTTTTTATTTAGCTTTTATTACATCAGTTCCTTGGGTTTCATGTTGCTTAAGCAGTCGACAAGCTTAATTAAGATATATACTATTGGTGAAGGTGAGGAATTTTCTAAAGAAAAAAAGCAGCTTCAGCTCAAAATCCGACTCGGTCACTGTTTTGGATGGAAATCAGGAAGGTGCTTATCAGTGGGTATGTTAATGACATTATGTCCTAGTATACATTCTCCATGTATTTCAAAGTGTGATAAAAAAATTCAAGCTATTTCTCTGATTGGGGCTTAGATTTACTCTACTTGCCAAAATTGGGATATAGTGTTTGGTGTGTTCCATTCCTAGATGTTAAGTAATAAGGAATACTGGCCATCTTTTTGGAGAGGTTCCAATCTTCCAATATACCTATGTTTGCAATGAGGTAATAAGAAATGAAAACGTGTTGTGTTGGTGAAATGTCATTTTGATCACAACATTGATTTTTATCTATCATTGGTCTCTGTCAGAAAATCAGAGGAAAAGTAGATCTGAGAAATTATCTAAATTTCATTGCAAAAATTAGGTGAAAGGACAGCTGGTAAAAACTTCCACTTTAGGGATTTTCTGTTGTTTGAAATGTGATGCCTTCACTAGTTCACTGACTATTTTTTTTTGTGTACACACTATAGTGTAGTGTTTTCATTTCCGAAGATGAAATGCTACATTCCATAAATTGCTTATATTGGTCAATCCTATTTGGCTGTCATCAACTTGTTCGTTGGCAATCTTTGTTTCAAGATTTCACTATGGCTTAGGTTTTCCGATTATAAGTTAGGGCTTTACATTTTCCTTTTTTCCATGTTAATCATCCGTGCAGGTGACCATTAATTATTTATTAGGAAAGTTGGGTAAAAAGTATTCCAACACCATTGGAGTAGTTGATCTGGGAGGCGGATCTGTGCAAATGGCCTATGCTATCTCAGAGTCAGATGCTCAAAAGGCACCAAAGGAATCAAAAGGAGAGGATACATATGTGCGGGAAATGTACCTCAAAGGAAAAAAGTATTACCTTTATGTCCACAGGTCTGTCTCATTCACCTTTATGAATTCATGTATTTGTTCTTTAATGATCAACTCTGTACAAATAGAAGTGCTTTTAGCTTTACCCAGTGCAATTTTTTTCCCGTGTGGTACTATGGCATTCTCTGTAGTTAAGACTTTCATAATTTCTATAGTTAGATCTAATTGGTCTCTCTTTTGGCACAGTTATTTGCACTATGGTTTGCTTGCTGCTCGAGCTGAAATTTTGAAGGTCACAGGGAAATCTGGCAACCCTTGCATCTTGGAAGGATACCGTGGTAGGCTGTTAGCCATTATTTTCATGTTGCCATGACATCATGATATGTTTTTGGATGTTAAGCTTTGCATGTTAAGTTTCACATGTTGCTATTGCATTGCATATTTGAAAATTTTCATGAGCCATGGAAAACTTCATTTTGTTATCACATGACAGTGGTACTAAAAGATTATCAATGTTGATGGAAAGGCCATCCAAGAAGATGCACATTACAAAAATAGTGTCATGTGAATGATAATGTATATTAGAGAAGTAAACTGGGACTCGTGTTTGGTCTTTCCGGTATCACACAATTCCAAACTGCTGTGTTCCTTGTTGGGGTTTGTAAGCTGCAACTTAAACATCTAGTTAATTGCATACAGCACGTGCAGTAGTGCACTGTGGAAGTATCTGCTTTTATCAAGTGGTGGAAATGATTTATTTTCAAGCATTTCTACTTTTATCTACCTCTTAATAAAACAATTATTGGTTACATGTGTGCATGCTAGGCTCATATAAATATGGAGGAGCAGTTTATCCAGCTTCACCATTGCCTGATGGTTCAAACATGAAGAGTTGTAGGGAGGCAGTCATTAAGGCTCTCAAAGTGAATGGATCAGCTTGCACACACATGAAATGCACTTTTGGAGGGGTGTGGAGTGGCGGTGGGGGTGACGGCCAGAAGAATCTATACGTAGCTTCGTTCTTCTTTGACAGAGCTGCTGAGGTATATTTGTTGATTCTGGATTTGTTTCTTACATAAGTGACTTGGTTCCTCAGCTGGACATACTCGCCTTTGTTGTTTTTAGATAGCTCTGACTGCATTATGTTCAAATTATAGATGTGCTAAATTGGATACAAGTCCTTTCACCCTCAGCAGGTGCCACTGAGATGGGATAAGGCTTATATAGTTATATACTAGGGTCAAGTCTAATGAACAACTGATGTAGGATACCAAACATCCCATCAGCCTGACCGTAAGATCCAAACAGGCTGGACAACTGAAGGGGTGTGCAAATCGGTCAAAACAAACAGCTTATAAATAACAAATGGGTCCTAAACCTCTCGGTGGCAGGGCGCTTGACAAATATCTTAGTATGTTCAGTCTTAACTCACGCCAGATTCAATGACCCATTAGACAACTGAAGGTGTGAACAAATGCGTCAAGTGAACTGTTTAAAAATAACAAATGAGTGAGTGGGCAGACGTCTAACAAACACTGGATCAGGCTCAAATATCATACGTAGTAGTAAATTGAGTGTAACCCAACAAGAGGATTAGATTCTTCTAAGGAGTGTGATTACCTCAAAATTATATAATAGACTCAAATCTAGTAAACTACTCATTTGGATTTCTCATTCTGAACAGGTAGGAATCATTGTTGACCCAAGTGTACCTGTCGCAAAAGTTCGCCCGGTTGATTTCGAAAGTGCAGCTTCAACCGCATGTGCAACTGGACTTGAAGATGCTAAAACCAAATTTCCTCGTTTCAGTGAAGAAAACTTGCCGTACTTGTGCATGGATCTGGCTTATCAGTTCAGTTTGCTGGTTGATGGATTTGGTAAGTTTTCAGAAATCCCCTAAGCCCTTGTATGGTTGGGAGAGGAAAGTGGAAAGTGTTCTACATTATCATGTTGTTACTTGTTACACATGTATATTAATCTGTAGTATATTTTTAATTACAAAAAAGTTATATCAATTGCACACACAAAAATCATACTGTTTCAAAATACTAATTCCTCCTGGTTCCTTCTTTGAACCAAATAGAAATCTCCCTTTTTATAACCACTTTCAGTTGCCTCCCCTGTTTAGAGCCAAAGAAGGGCTAAGTGAGTCAAATGCAATTCAGAGAGATGTGTTGTATTTCTTAAAATGTTTGCTCGTGTGCATGTTGATCAGGTCTAGATCCTTATCAATACATCACATTGGTAAAGAAAGTGAACTACAAAAGTCACCTTGTGGAAGCCGCTTGGCCCCTGGGCAGTGCCATTGAAGCAGTCTCTTAACTGACAAAAAAGCACTTGTAGCAGTTCCAGCTGATAGGATGAATATGTTTCCGCTTCCCATTATCAGTTTGCTGATGATTGTGAAGTCGTGAAGAGAATTAAAAGTCCAGTGGAATCGGAGTAGTATTCACTAGTAATAATGAGATATGTTTTCTTTGTTGAGGTTCTTCTGATTTGGTTTAGGTGCATTCATTCTTGTAAAGGCCTATATAAAGGGAATCTACCATTCTTCTACATAAGCTACAGTATTTGTTTATCACTAGTATTTGTTTTATTAAAATACGATGTTTATTTTCGTTTTTTCAAATGCTCAATTGTTCTATGGAGTATTTTGATATTTACTCCGCATAGTTCAATTAAAAAGTTTGATAATCATTTTTAGCACCATTATTAAAGTATTTATTTATATTTATATTTATATACTCAACATAAACCACGATGTTTTCCATTAGATCCATTATCCATATATGGCTTTTAGAGAAAACCTGTCGAATGCAATTAGCTGTCTGCGTGTTCTTTCAATTTAAGTAATTGTGTGTTTAGCGCAAGATTTTTTAGTGTCTCTAGGGTAGCCAAACTTTATGGCGTATCAGGCTATCAGCCTTACCTCCCATTTTGTTTCACCAAACGTTACTCTTCTTTTAAACTAGGCCTGGACTCAGTAAATGAAAGGGGAGGCCCGGAACCGGCCCGGGTAACCCCCGGGTCCAGGCCGGGCCTCGTTTCAATTTATAATGTTTTTTTTGGCTTTTCCTAATTAACCCTCCTCCCTCACCCCCAAACCACCTCAAATGGCCCAAAATACTCAGTCCAACCCAAAAACTTAAAAAAAATAAAAATAAAAAAAGGAAAAAAAATAAAAATAAAAAAAGGAAAAAAAAAAATAAATTGGCCCAGACTGGGCCCAAACCGGCCGGGCCGGTTCACCTTTTGAGGGGCCCGAGCCCGGACCGGAACCCCAGCGGGTCGGGCCTATCCGGACCGGTCTCTGACTCCCTGGCCAAACATCTCGATTTTTAAAACAAAGAGTCCGAAAAAGAAGGAAATAAATTAACTCAAACATCTTGGTTTTTAAGCCATCGAAAAGAGAATAAATGTTTGACTAGCCACCTCTAAGTAGTCATGGACCCGGCCCGGGACCGGACCGGCCCGCCACTGTGCGGGCCCGGAACCGGCCCGGTTCTCGGGTACGGGTCGGGCCTAGGCCCGGTGGGGGGGGCGGGTCCAGGCTCGGGCCTTGTATTTGGCGAACCGGCCCGGCCGGGTCGGGCCCGGGTCCGGGCCAAAAACTGTTTTTTTTTTCTCATTTTTTTGGGCTTTATTGAGTTGGGCTTGATGTTTAGGACCGGTTTGGGGGGTTTGGGGGGGGTGGGGGGTGAGGGGGGGGGGGAAGAAAAGAAAAAGAAAAAAAGAAAAAAAAACTAACCGGGTGTCCCGGCCCGGAACCGGAACCGGTGGCCACCGGTTCGGGCTCGGGCCCAACAAAACAGACCCGAGGCCCGGACGGGCCTAGGCCCGAACCGGGCCCGAACCGGCCCAAGGCCATCCCTACCTCTAAGGAAACTCTCCTAGTCTCATGCCCTGTCAAAATTACAAGCAGTGCTGCCTTTGCCATTTTTGGACTATCGCTTTCCACTCCATGAATGCCCGAATGACCGAATCAACACCCTTTTATAGAGACTCACGACTCTTCTCTTCCTGGGTCCCCCCCTCTTCCAGCAGCATATTCAAGTATTCAACTTGTTAATAGTGAAAAAACTATCGAAACTGTTTTTGATAAGTGATTGATATTAGCCCGCAAATGACCCATTGAAACCTAATGTAAAAATACTTCGTCACCAAATGCGAAAATAGATGAATTTGCAAATGCCCCTCTTCGGGTGATTAGATAACTTTGTCACAAATGCATAAACTTTGATTTTGTGTGTTAAATTGCTTTATAACCAAAATAAATAAACCTTAAATTAATTTTCTAGATGAAATGATTGAAGTTATTGAATAGACCTATTTCAGCTATTCTTTCATACATAGTATAATTCACCCACTTAGCTAATTTTAGTTGTATGAAATAGACTCGTAATCATTTTAATAAAATATTTGAGTAATTTTGGTAGATTTAATTATTTTGACAATTGTATGCTTTACAAAACAAGCTCTTAGTCATTACTTCATGTATCACTTTACCAGTTTGAGGCTATATCAAAATAATTCTAACTTTTTCATTTTAGGAAGAAATCGACAATAAAAACAATAACAGACTACATTACCTTTAATAAAGTATATACTACTATTATGATACTAAAAACTTCCTATTTTTCTAAGTTGTGTTTAGACATATATTGTATCTTAAATTATGTGAAAAGTTTATTATAACAATTAAAATGATAAAAAATGAAATATTTGTTGTTTCACCATATAAATTTAAAATTTCTGGTGAAGATTTTTCTCCTTATAAACAATAGATTAATCGGTTTAAGAGTTGGTGAGATTTTATAACAGAAATTGCCATAAATAGGAGTAAAAACGTTTTGAAATTCTAAAATAGGAGTATCATGTTTTTTATTCTCTGAATAGGAGTAATCTGTCAAGTTTGGGAAAAAATGCCATGTTTAAAGCCTTGCAATGCCCAAACTTGGCAGAAATTTACTCCTATTTAGGGAATAAAAAACATGATACTCCTATTTTGGAATTTCAAAACGTTTTTACTCCTATTTAGGGAATTCTCTCATTTTATAATGACATGTACGCATTTGGTTGAAAAGCAAGCAGCCAAATTGTGCATTTTGCTGAAACATCCGCATTTTCTCCCCACTGCGTGGTCTCACCACATTAGTATTATTATTTTATTCATACTTGTTTACAATCTTACATTGCCAATCGTCTTCCAAATTCTGAAGTGATTTTTAAATATTTTGTTTTTTTGGAACTGATTGTGCTTCTTCTTTTTTAACGCACCAGCTTTTTTAGAAGTTAGGGGGGGCACCAGCTTATGAAAACTGATTCTAGAAGTAAATTAGAATACCAAAATCACTTCTACACTTTCACCCAAACACTCCAACTTTTGCTTCTGCTCCTTGAAACAACAGAAGCAGTTTTAAGGATCAGATTCATACACCCCTTAGTCCTGTAATACATTTTGATTTAGATTCATCCCAAAATACGAAGTATACAATATGCTTTACTTTATTTTTAGTTTATCTTTAACTTCAAATTGAAATTACTCCATTTAAAAAAAAATCGTCTGTTGCATGAATTGCAGAATTATTTAGGTTTATCCTTTTATATTTTTTAGGTCAATTTGAGAGGCAAAATAATATAAAACTAATGTTTCAAACATTTTTAACATAGATTTTAACAACCTTCTGCATATGTAAATTAAAATTTATTTTTTTTACTATCTATAAACATTTATATATATGTAAATACATCACAATTCTTTTGGAGGGTCGAGCCCCTCCAGCCTTGTCTCCACCCCTGACAACCAAATGATTCTTTTTACTCTTTATTTGTATGGATATATCAATATCCATTTTAAACACTAAATTCCCACGATAACAAGATTTGTATCTCTAACGAGGTTTTGCACGAACTGTTGGAAACGTGTTAATAAATTGCATTAAATGATCATTTTAGGGCAATATTTTAAGTGCTATAATTCCATATGTGATACGCTCAAAACGGATAACGGGTGAATGAGAAATTGATTCTCGAAGTTCACTCGTTGAAATGGAGAAACTAGGAAAATGATGGATTTCTAGAGTGATTTATCTCACACCAGAAAACTCAAGGGATTTTCAACCCCGTATAAAGGGGATCCTCTTTGAAGGAGTTAAGATTCCTAAGTGGAAAGGCTCTCTTTGCGTGCCGGGGGGGTGCGAATCAAATCCCAAAAACGGAGAAGAAAAACCGCAACTTGCGTGCGCGGGCGACCTGCGGACACGGATGTCGTCCGAAAATCTATCTTCTAAAGATAAGATTTAATTTTTGCTTCTTCCCGTAACGTTCCTTTTTGCTCCAGGTGCAGTCCCGTTGGGAGGAGACTGCTGCTCCATGTTAAACGACTCACAGCAGGCAGCTGCTGAGACGTTACAACAATAAATGCCAACATTCTGCAGCTTTAAGAGGACAGTTTACGGACGATTCAATGCCCAACGGAATAGTCATGGATGTCCAACGTTCAGGTCTTTTAATACTCCATTAACACACCACAAATCCTTCCTATAAGTAGCTGACAGGTGCTTTACAACATTACATGCAATCATACACAAATTGCACGTTTTTTAGCTCAAAAACAGCTCTAGCATTCTGAAAATATTCCTTTGTGTTCTTGCTTGTTCACGTTCGCTAGAACAATTCGTTTGAGTGCTCAACGATTGTTCATAGCCATCGTATCCTGAGAAACGATCGTTGCAACGCTCCTAGCACATAGGGAGACAACAAATACATTTTAAGGACATCGCGCGTAGCACGAGCTTTGGCTAATTTCTGCTCCATCTCTTTTCTGTTTTTCTTTAGTCATTTTAATTAACTTTATTTGATTATTTTTCTTTATTTTCCGAGAACACCCAACACGAACAACATGTTATAGGTGATATGCATATATATCTTAATATAATCATTCAATATGTACAAGCCATTTTCTTTTGTCTGTGCACAAACGATAGTTTTTCATTTTTGTAAAGACAACTATTTGTGACTCCAAAAAATATATTGTCTATAACATAGACAATCAACTTTTTGGGGGCACACGCATTTTTTGTTACTAAAATTAAAATAAATTGTTTGTAAGTCCATGTATACACGTAGCATTTTTCATTTTAATATTTATAGAAACATGATTTTTTTAGATTATTTCAAAAATAACTCAAAATTATCTAAATCAAATTATTTATAATTTAAAATTATCATCATATTTTTGTTTAGAAAGTTACATTGGTATTTTTTCAAGCATTTTACAATTTTAGATTACACTCATACAGTCATACAATACACCATTTTTTAGAGTTTATTGCATCAAGCTACTTCACTATATATAATTTTTTAGAGTTTATTGCATCAAATCCGCTTGAGTTATAATTATTCAGGAGCAAAAAAATCTCCAAGAATAATTCTAACAGTTTAAAAATTATTTGTCTTGATATTATAATTGAATGCAAGTAAATTTATCAATATCTCTAAATTATGCAAAAAATCCTAATCATTTGTTTTTTATTTAATAATTAAATTTGTTAATTGATGTGCTTTTACACCTGAATAATTATAACACAGAAGTGTTTGATGTATTTTTAAAAATAAAAATAAGAGTTTTGTTTCGTGTACACAACGATTACACATTGGCTGACACACTCAAATGTAATTGTCTATGCACAGACAATTATGCTTGAGTTTAGTAAAATGAAGTGTCTGTGATCCTATATTGTCTGCGCACAGATAATTTATTTTTTGGAGTGACAAACACTTTACTTTACTAAAACTCGAGCGTAATTGTCTGTGCACAGGCAATTACACTCGTGTGTAAGTGAGTGCGTAATCCGGTGTCTACCCTAAACAAAACTCTAAAAATAAAAATATAACAAATGACAAATGTAGCCCGCGGTTGGTGTTTACCAAACACAAGGAGATCTGAAAATTGTGGGAGGAAGAGAGAGAGAGATAAGGTTTGGTGAATTTCGGGGGTCTGTCGGTAGTATATGACTGCCAGTACCTAATTTAACTGCTATCATTTCATTCATTTCATTCCATCTTCTTCGCACCTCCCCTTCTCGCGTTCTCATTGGAATACCCAAAGCTTTGAATCTGCTGCATTGGAGTTGATCAGAGCTTTCAGAGACAGAGCGTAGCTATGAAGGTGATAGAGAAGATCCGGGAGCTGTCCAAGCAAGAGAGCAATGGCGATAAGGTCGTTTTCTCCTTCGAGTTCTTCCCCCCTAAAACGGAGGACGGTGTTGAGAACTTGTTCGAGCGGATGGACCGCATGGTGGCTCATAACCCTACCTTCTGCGATATCACCTGGGGCGCCGGTGGCTCCACCGCCGATCTCACTCTCGAGATCGCCAATCGGATGCAGAATATGGTCTGCGTTGAGACTATGATGCATCTCACCTGCACCAACATGCCCGTTGAGAAGATCGATCACGCTCTGGACACCATCAAGTCCAACGGCATCCAAAACGTCCTCGCCCTACGCGGTGACCCTCCTCACGGCCAGGACAAGTTCGTCCAGGTCGAGGGTGGCTTCTCCTGCGCCTTGGACCTCGTGAGTGCTAGTTTTTCTCTTTCATTTCCTTTCGTTT